AAACACAAATCAAGACATGGGTGGGAGGTGAAAAGTCACATTCAGGCCTGGCTCCTCTGCTTCAACACACTGAAACAAGCCACCGTCATTCAACTAGGATGCCATCCAGATACGGTGTGTCGACAGAAACCCAGGGGCAGACGTAGGAGGAGCTGGAGGAATCACAGTAGTCCAGTAATCCAGCAGTTTGGAAACACAATGAGACGGCTAACTGTGTCTAAGGAAAGACAATTCTAGACTTCCCTGATGTCCTTTGACCACGACCAACATATAAAGATAATGAAGGTGACGTTTGTTGAAACATATAATTTAATAAGAGTTCAGATGACTTGACTCACGTTGGCCTCTGGTCACATGACGCAAACTAAATGCCAGAATGTTAAACCTAATCCGACAGAACAAGGCAGGAGTTTGTTTCCATAATGAGCCTCTAAAGGCAGTATCTTGTTTATGAGGCCAACGATGCTTTAATGTATCAGTCGGCCCAGTGATCAGTCGTGTGTCGCCTCGTGTTTTCGCCGGCCTGTCGTTCATTCTTAGGCATGTTCCCGTGGTTCATGTTGCAACAGTGTAATGTAATAAAGGCTGCCATGTCCACACTGAAAATCAATAATACTGTTGACTGACGTTGTTGGATTTATGACAGTGTACAGGTGTGTGAAGCCAGCGACCAGATTTGACTCACACACACACACACACAGGAGCTTCTTCTCAATGTTCAACAGATGTATCAAAGGAAAACGATGTAGCGAGCAGATAAGATTACAAGGCAGAATTCCCTTCTCTACTCCATTACCATCCATTATGTATACACAGGATGAGGTCAGTTTGTTCTAGTCCAGACACGCAGCCCTACATCATCCACCCCCCACTGATTGAACTGCACTGACCCACATTAATACATTTATAATCAATGCCTCCTCAGGTCCTGAGTGAGGACTCGCTTATCAGATGTTTGAGGAAATTGTGCAGTCCAATTTAAAATGGCCTGGAGGGAAACTTTCATAACCATGTGGCAATTACTTCCACTGTCAATAATGCTAATGCCAAAGGACATTGTGTTCCAGGGCGAGAGGAACCGATAGATAAATAGACGAGACTGGGGGAGCGACGGCGAGCTCATGCCACTGTTTAAAGCCTGTTGCATCGAGAACAAGCAGTGAAGGGATACGACGTAGCACCGGTGTAGACTGTGGATGCTGGATTACACCAACGTATAGATAATATGTGATGACACCACATATAAAGGCCAACAGACAGAGCAGGAGTGGGTTGACTACAGGCTCGGAGATGATATTCATTAGGACAGCATTGAGAGAAAGTGAGAAAGAAGCCATGGTGGTGGTGGTGGTTGGAGGGGAGGGGGTGAGAAGAGGGAGGGGGGGGGTGACAGGGCCACATTCCTCTGCTCTTTCACCACAGCCGTCACAGCAGCACATGAAACAGGTGTTTGTCTTCACTCGGGGGCACAGGGAGCAAGACAAGTGCTGTCCTCATATGGTTCAGACTGGTCACATTTGACCACACGCTGACCCCAGCCCCACTTGAGTGGCCAAGGACTTCATTAAGTCCAGCCTTAGTAGCACCAGGCTCCCACCACCATTACCTGGCCCATTTAATACAGACTCTGCCTGTTCCCTAAATGATCTTGACTCAAGGATGTTCATAAGCAGAGTGCTCATCAATGTCAGAACTTTCATGAGCCCTGCTTGGAATTTAGGACCTCTGATGCGGAGCATCAACAAACACCTCCACCTCTGCAACCAGCCACTCGCCCTGAGGCTCCCACTTTGATTCATAGTGACCTCACCTGTCCGAGGAGTCGCCTCTATAAACTCGCAAAGTCATTGCCCACAAACTCCAAACACAGCTTCAGTCAGTGTCATCTGACCTGGCACAGAAAAGCAGTATTAAAGCTGTGGTGTCATTTAAAGTTGGCAGAACGATCGATTGCTGAAAACTCTTTGACAGAAAGTAAAACCTTGATTGGATAAAAAAAAAATTGCAGCTTGCACTTGGCAATCTCTGGACAAAATTTGAGGCTGTCGGAATTTAGTCAGCAACATCAACATTTAGCATCAGACCTTGACTTTACCCTTCATCAAATATTTCCTTTAAAGTGTGTTTGAGACGCCTGAAGTCTTAAATTAAGACTTGCTGAAAGAGGCGACACGCGGAAGAAGGATATTCCAACAAAAATAGCCACAAATCAGGGCCGTGATAAGACACGGTCCTGGCAGAATAATAAGAAACTATAAAACTGTTTTTGAGGGAAGCTGTTCAAACACCGTGTTAGAAGGTAATAAGGCGAATCATCAATGAAATTAATTAAGTGAATAAAGGCACTTTCTCTTCCTAATATGTTCAAATTCAAACATGAAAACTGACACATAGAACTTTCATTAAACTGGTTTTTGGTTCAATATTCTGACTGCCCTAAAAACACCTGACTCCAACAGAGAATTAACCCAAAAAGACTTTACCGTCCTTCTAGAAAGATCATTGGACATAGGATTCACGTTTGTTGAATGAGTCTGAGTCTGATTAGTTTATGAATAAATCAGGTCAGTTCTATCCTCCATCAGCAAATCCCACTTTCAAACTCAGGTTGTTGTGTGTTTCCCATGAACCGCCCCTCATACTTTGTTGAAAGCTCTGGCATTTAACTTCCAGGCTGACTTGATATATGCTGCTGTTTTTCCAGGCCAACAATTTCACAAGCTGGAATAGTTTGGCCCTTTCTGAGGTCCGGCTCGTCCACTAAGGCCGTATCCTGGAAACTGGACTCAGTGACACAGTTTTAGTCATCCCTTCCTTTTCCCAAACACCTCGGCACATAGACACACACACAAACAGACACACACTTCCAATGACAACATTACACACAGCTTCTCTGTCCAGCTCAGGAAACAGGGGGTTCCTGTTTTTGAGTCCAAGCTCTATTGTTACTTTGAACAACACTTAGCAGTACAGTACATACTCTCTCTCTGGTTTTCTCCCTCTCTCACTCTCTTCCTACACACACTTGTGATATTATACAACAGTGATTATGTCCAATCTGGACACAGTGTCCAATCTGGACCTGCGTGGAGCTCTGGAGTAGCAGACATTCTTATCTTCACCTCTCACCTCACTAATATTGACAGAGTCAGTGAGAAAGAGTCAACAGAAGTCTCCATGACCACTCTTCCTGTTTTATCTCTGCCTCTTATCTGTGCTGTCTGGAGGGAGTCACACTGACAACTCTTGTCTCAGCACTTGAGAATGAAGTATCATCAGCGTGTCTGTCTCTGCCAACCGCTATCACTTACGGGCAAAACCAGCAATATCAGGCTAAAATATGACAAAACGCACACAAAGCATCCCACTTCCTGCCTTTGGCGCCAAGGTCAGAGTACGACAGGAAACTATCTTTTTTTTTATTTTTTAAAAAAGACCTTTTGCACCTGTGAAAGTGCCTCTTGATTTAACTGTTTATGTGCAGTTTGTTTTACCTTGTTGAAGTTAGGCCACATTATGATTAGGCTATTTTATTATTCATTTATATATAATTATATAAATTAGCTGGTTAAGACCAGGCTTTAAGTTAACTCTCTTTGAGTGTAAATCTGTAAATATTTTTAGAATAGTTATTGTTCTTTTTCCATATGTTTTGCTTTTTGGTAGCTTTAAGTTTTCTTTTTGGTTCATTTTCTTTCTTTCTTTTATTTTTGACTGTACCATCATTTTATGTACATGTTCCTTAGTGAACATTTTATATTTTTTTAACTAACCCTTTACTTTACT